AGCTCCTGCTCCAGCCATCCAGAGGATTTGCTGCTCCAAAGCAGTCAAAGACAGGCTTATCAGCAGCCACGCTCCCTGCTACAGCCCCCATTGTACAGTGCTCACTGTGAGTGAGGCTGTTTCTGCCTTTCCTATGTTGCTGATGCTGTTCAGAGCAGAGGCAGAAGGGAAAGGACACAGGGAGTAACTGCAGCTCCCCTGCCTTAATGCATTTGGGAGCAGAGGAATCTATTGGCCAGGACAATTATCCCTTAGCACCCCCACAGATCCAATGTCCAGGACGAGACAGAGAGTGTTGTCTTATGAAATATTTGGCCTTGCAAGCAAGAGGAGGGACACCTCGATTTGGTTGCCCATGGAGTTTAGCACCATTTTTAGATTTTCCAGTGCCCAGTAAGGTCTCCAACAAAGCACAGACTGGAGTTGGAGCTTTTTGCTGTCAAGCTGTTCAAATCCCCTGTGGATTCTCCACTGATTCATTAGCACTGAGTTATTGCTGTGCTCCTCTTCCAGCAGGGACTCTAATAAAGTGGCTTTTTGCTAGCCAGCCAGTTATTTTATGAAACTTTCCAGAACTGACAAGCTCAAAGACCTCCTTCAGGTGTGACTGCAATTGTCTGTGTACTCAAAAGAGAAATGCAAGGACTGAAAGTACCATCTCTCCTCTCCAAGCACAGGCTGGATTCCAAGATCAGGTGTGGGATGGCTGTTCTAACCCTCATGTCAATCCAGGAACAGCTCCACTTGCCTGTGTATCCCCGTGGTTGCTCAGGCTGGGATGATGCAGACCCAGACACCCCCTTGTACCCAGACGGAGATTTCTGGTCGTCAGAAGCTGTTGTTCCCTTTCCCCCACACATGATGTTACATCCTTGGCTTGCCAGGGCTGCCTTCCCCCAGCCCCTGTAAGATTAACAACATGCTGAGCTTCTGTCTTGCCATGAAGATTTCAGCACCCTTCCAGCAAATGCATTTGCTGTGCAGACAGCCATTAAGCACAGAGCAGCTGCAGGGTGAAGACCCTTGGCTTCCAGGAGGAACAGCCACCTCTCCAGCATGGAGTCTACAAGCACAGGATGCTCCAGAAAGTTACTCAGACCTGCACTGGAGAGATGTCCACCCCAGCCAGGCTGGCTGTCTCAGGGCTGAGCTCAGCAGGAAACAACCCTCTTGGGCCACCACCTCCCCCTTTCAGCCACTGAAGTTCCTTCCCCTGAATTAGGGATGCTAAAATAAATGGGGGATCATTTTTTCAGGCTACAAGAGATGAATAAATGATGACAAAAGCAAGGGGTAAACAATGCTTCTGTTAGCCTTTATTATGGGGTCTGCCCTGGCTTTGGAGCACGAGTGGATCACAGGGTCCAGCTGGATGGGAAGCTGGAGTCAGGCATTTTGGCAGCTCTACAAAGCTGTGGTTCCTCAGGTGCAGTGGGTGCCATCACTGTCACATCTGCCATCATCCCAGGCTGCTCTCAGCAGCTGGATTTGGGAACCCAGCATCACAGCCAATCTGTTTCCAGGAGCGGCGTGTGCAGAGACACATGGCAAATCACCCCTCACACGGCAGAAAAGGATTATCTTGCTGTCTGCTTTCCTGGCAGGAGGGCAGAGGGGACCCTGAATCTCAGCAAAGCTCCTACAAACACAAGGACCAGGGCAAGATCCAGTCTCAGCACCTGCACGCACGAGCTGGCCTGGTGAGATGTGTCTCTCCCAGAGTGTGGGTTGGGCTTTTTCTGCTCACACTGGGCTCTTTCAACCCCCTGATCTCAGCTGTAAATAACAGAACCAGACTGTGCTGGCCAGACAAAGAGAGGAGGTGATGCCACAGAAAGCCACGCAGGGGTGAGAGCCTTGGTATCCCATGGGGCTGGGGCTCCAGCTCTGTGTCCCCCAAATCACTCTGGACCCACCAGGAGGGAGGGAAAGAGCTGGGATGTGTCCCTTGTACGTCAACAAATGGCCATGGAGTGGCTTGAAGGCCTTTGGAGAAAGGAGAGAGGTTACAGGAGGAAGCAACAGGAGAGGAAAACCTGGTGTATGCAGCTTTGCTCTGAAGTCAGAGGCACCTCCACCCACTGTCCCTGGGGATTGCTTTGGGATGACTCTGCTCTCCCTCTGCCAGCAGACAGAAGATGGGGCATGCCAAGCAACCGGGCTTTGAAAAGCAGGGATTGGACTCTGCCCTGCCCAGCCTGGTCCCATGGTTGATGCTGAAGAAGGAGATGGGAATGAACGTGGCCAAAATCTGACTCACTTCTGCAGCCCCTGCATCACTTCCATCAACCCCCCTGCACTGGTGGCCATGCAGGGACCACGAGTCCCTGCTGCTGCCTCATCCCTGCTGCTGCCTCATCCCTGCTGCTGCTTCTCTGCTCTGTCCCATCTCCTTGGGCAACACTACACCAAAATGAATCTGGGCCTCTTCACCAGGGTCATCAGCAAGCTGGCCAAAGCCATGGATGACCTCTCCATGTCTCATTCCCCAGCTCCTAACCCACAATGGAGATAGATGGCTGCCACCCCCAGGCAGCAGCAGCCACCCTGACCCCAGAAAAGCCAGAGGGGCCCGGCTGGGCTGGACTTGGGGGACAAAAATGCAGCCGCCTGCATTTATTTTGCCTAACAACAGTGATCCCTCTGTATATTTTCATTCTGTTTTCCTAGGCTCAGCTGCCTCCTCAATGAAATGTTTCCAAAGCAGCCTGGCTTGGCAGCACGCCAGCCCCGGCTGCCAGATGAATGGGCGGAGGAGGAGGGACCCATTCCTCTTCTTGACACAGCATCGCTGCACAAGAGGCCTCTGTTGACATTAGGACTGGCTGTTCCTCCTTTCCCGAGAGGATCTGCCCGGCCCTCCACAGGAGCAGCACACAGGGCCAAGGCTTCATGTGACATCAAACTGACATCTGTCCTCCTCCAGGCTGGTGGCACAGCCATGGGTACCAGGGTACCATGGTGCACCCTCCTCCAGGGTGGTGGCACAGGCACAGATAACAGGGTACCAAGGACTGCTAGAACCTGAGCCAGCCCTTGTTCCTGGCCCTTGGCCCCCAACAGGTGAGGATTCCTTGGAGCTCTCTGACTCTACTTACACCATCACTCTCGAAGACATTGGTGATGTACAGAGCCTGTTTCCTCCCCCAAAACCCCTCTCCACCCCACCCAGAGCAAAGCTCTCCCTCAGCATCGCAGGACTACAGACACTGACACAGGATTTGCAGAGCTCCAGGTTTCTGGCATCTTTAAGGGGTGAATCCTGTTACAGAGGCCCCAAGCATGGCACCCCAAACCCTTCAGGTCTTTGGACAGTAATATATGGAATAGGATCAGTTTCACCCTAAAGCCTTGCCCCTACTCAGTCGTGTAGGACTTCATCCAAACAATGTGACATCTCTTTCCCACACCTCAATGCCTCTACCCAGAGCAAAATGCCCACCCCACCCAAGCTTTCAGAGACAGAAATTTGTCTGCTGGGAGGTAACCAAGTGGTAGCTGTTGCAGTGAACTACACACCCAGCACCAGATGGGATCCCCCTCTCTGCCATGGCTAATTGCAGCACTGGTCATCAGTGAGGGAATGCAAATCCAGGTATGCCCCACTCATCACCTGTCACCTCCTTGGCAGGGACACCTTTAGGAGCTGCACAAGGAAAGGATGTGGAATTTAATACAAGTGCTGATAATGCATCAGAAGGCAAAAGAAAGAGATGAAAGTAATCAGCATCATTCCAATCTGCACCTCTTTCCCTGATTGGCTCCTCTGGCATCTTCTGCTGGTGGCCAGCACCCAGCTGAGGCAAGCCAAGGACCAGGGGCTGGATAAGAGCAGCACCCAGCAGCAGGCCACAGGAACACAGTCTGCTCCTAGCAGCTGTGGCAGGGAGACTGCTCTGCCTGGCTCTGGTGGAAAAGAGGCCAACCATGCATCGATAAGATGAATTAGTTGTCTCAGCAGCACCAGCAAAATGAGCGAGAGGAGCCGAGCCCGTGAGGCCCGGCCTGCTTTGTTTCAATTACAGCAGCTGCCAGAAGAAAAAGATAGCCTCAATATTGATGGCAGGAGCAGCAGACAGAGGTGCCCTTGCAGGCTACTGGGAGCAGGTAGAGGAGGAAGGGGGAGGAGAGATGGAGGAGGGGGAGCAGGGTCTCAGCCAGCACACCGTGGGAGAGCCTGGCTGGTAAGAAAAACACATCTGATCCCATTGCTCTCACCCCTGTGAGGAACAGCTCCTTTTCACCCTGGTTCTTGTCCCAGTCACTGTGCAGAGCATCCTCCAGCAGAGACAGGGTGCAGAAACCCAGCATTGGGACACAGCACAGTGAAAACACTGAGCAGAAAGTCATTTCTCTGCTCCCCACTCAGGCTGCAGGGCCTGGAGAGGCATTGAGCAGGGCTGTGTGGGATGATGGATGGAGTTGGATAAAGGACAGAGACAGACTCGGGGCACCACAAGCTGCAGACAGGCATGAGTGCCTGCCAGGGGCACAGCACCCACTTGCCTGAGGGCTGGGGAGCCCCACAATGTCCCTGCAGTGGGGACTGCTCTGGGCGCTGGGGACAAGATGCCCATGGTGACTTTGGACTGCCATGGTGACTTTGGGAACCAGCAGCAGCTTGGGGCAGGCACCCCAACATCACACCTACAAGCCAGGTACGGAGGTGCTGAGCCAAATACCCTCCAAGCAGTGCAGTGTTAATGTCCTGGACTCTCATCCTGGGAGGCAGCCAGAAGACAGGAAGAGATGGGGTCTTCTCTTGAGGAAGACTTCTTTTCAGTCTTGAGCCCCTGTACCTCCAACTCCTGCTCAGGAGATGTAAACCATCCCTGGCTGCTGCATCTTGGGGTCTGCATCCAGCCCTGTGTCCCTCCCTGTGCCCGGGGCACAGACCAGCGCTGAGCAAGACATCCCCCCCCGCTTCCCCCCGGGGCCACCAGAGGCCAAACTGAGCAGCGGTCACTTCACAGAGGTTTTATTCGCACTCCGCATATCCACGCTGCCCTCCCACCTCGCTTACCCGCAGGAAAGAGCTCAGGATCCCCACCCTGTCCTCGCCGAGCTGCGCCCATCGGATCCAGCCCCTGGGTCTCCAAGAGGGGACAAGGCCACCATCTTGCGGCCACCCAGCACCACTGCACATACCCGTGCGCACGGTCCGGGGGCGCCCAGAACGGCACAGCCGGGGGGACAGGCTTCGGACCGTGGGGAGCCGCGACATCCACCGCTCCTCCCTGGGACCGTGTCCACACGCTGTCCCTCCCCTCGCTCCCTGGCCAGGAAACCCAGGGATTCCTGCACACCCAGGAGTGTCTGGATGGGCAGAGGATGCCAGCAGCGCTGCTCCCACCCCAGCTCTGGCCCCTCCACCCCGCCCTGCTGCTCTGTGCAGTGTCAGCCAGCAGTGACCAGGGACCTCCTGGTTTGCACAGCGGGCTTCATTGAGCACAGAAAGGCGGGCAGTGGCAGATGAAGGCTCAGAACTGAGTCCTGGGGCTGAAAATGCAGCACTGAGCAGGGTCCAAGGGGAATTTCCATCCCTATCACAGCGTAGGAGGGCAACCCACATAGGGTTTGCTGGAGGGAGCTGTTAAACCAGCACTGCTGGTGACCAGCAGCCCAAAGCAAGTCCTTCCATGCCTCTGTGAAGTGAGGTGGGGTCGTCTGCACACTACTGGGTTCTCCAAGGCTGCCCAGCCTGGTTTAATGCTCATCCCCCTCCTTCTGCTTCCTCTCCTTGTGATGGAGCTGGCCATGGTCTCCGTGGTGGTGGTGAGCATGGGTAGCAGGTTTGTGGTCCTCACTTGGCTTTGTGTCTCTCTCACTGTTGACCTCGTGATGGTGGTGAGGATGGAGGGGGTTGTGCTGGTGGACGGGGATCTCTGACTCCTTCTCCTCATGTTCAGGAAGGGAGCTTGGGGTTGCAGGGCCCTCCATGGTGCTGTTAGCCTGAGGAAAGTAACACAAGGGCTGGTGTGGTAAGGGAACGCCCACAGAGCCCTGCAGAAAGCCTGGGAGCACAGCTGTGAACTGGGAAGAAGGCAGAGCAGCATTCATCAAACAGAAAACTGTGGGTCAGAGCAAATGCTCTCCAGCCCTGACCCAGGGCACAGGGAGGACAGGAGAGGCTGGAGCACACAGGGCACAAGCCTTTACACTTGTGCCTTTGGCTCAAGCTGTCTGTGGTCCAGAAACAGGAATTTGCATTCAGTATTTCTGGATGTACTTTTCTCCTGGGAAGTGACTAATCGCCTGCCAAGCTCAGAGCTCCAGCCTTTTCTTTGCTCTGAGCTTGCCACCTCTGCATCCACTGCCTGCCCTTTCTTATATGGGAACAGTCCTAGTTAGCATTCCCAGACATGGGGTATGACCCCTTTAGTCAATTCCTTTTCAACGGGAAAGCTCTGACCTATTTAAGTGCCCTTATTCCAGACCTTCCATCACCTTCCCTCTCAAACACATCTGAGGGCAGCTGCCAACCCAGAGCCCATCCCCAACATGGAGATAAGATTGTTCTTGCTGATGTGCAGTGCCAAGGACAGCAGGGATCCAGCGAGCATTCCAGCCCTCACCTCCTGGGTGGTGTTGGGGTAGAGGGAGCAGTTGCCACAGAAGTCCTTGATGTGGCTGGAGCGGATGGCTGCTTCCACATAGGGGAAGTGGAGGAAGCTGAAGGGCAACTGGATGTGGAAAGCCAGGCGGCCGCACCTGAGGGGAGAAGTCATGGCCTGGCTCAAGATGGGGGCTGGAACACCCCCAGCCCAGCCATGAGAGGGGATTTTGGAAGCCATCAAACGCTCTGTAACACCCAGCAAAGCCTCAGGCGAATCGAGGGACACTCACCGGTCATAAACAAGGAAGTCGTCCTTGTCACCCCCCAGGACCTGCCAGACGTCGGGGTCCCCCTGCTCGGGCTGGAGCACGGGCACGCCGGGCGGGGCATGGCGCCGCAGCTCGGGCAGCATGGCGCGGGACAGCGGCGCCTTCTCGTTGACGATCATGTAGCGAACCTCGGCCATGCCCTGCCGGGCCAGCCGCTCCCGCAGGCCCCCGAGGCTGCGGACGGGAGGCGCTGGGAGGGGCTGCCGGGCAGGGGCCGCCCTCTGGCCCCGAGGTGCCGGGGATTGCTGTGGGGAGGGGAGCGGGGCTCACCTGTGGGCCTGCCTCAGGCAGAACTGTCAGCTGGCCTTCAGCAGGGCCACCACCGTCACCTGCCCTGCCGCCCCCTCCATGGGGCTCGAGCCATTGATGGTCCATGCCGGCGCCTCCTGGCAGATCCGGCTGCTGTTGGCCGGCTCCTCGGAGGCCGAGGCCAGCCCCAGCCCCAGCCAGGTGGCCAGGGCCAGCACCAGCAGCCCCATCCTGGACCCCGGTCCTGGCAGGGGCACACGGGGTGTTACCCTCCTCCCAGATCCACTACACCCCCAAAATATCCCCCTGCACCCAGCTCCAGGGCAGACAAGGGCTGTGGGCAGTGTTGGCCTGATCCTGGCACTGGGAGCCAGGACCCCTATCCCAGGAGACAAGGACAGGGGGACTAGGGGAGGAATTGGGCTCCTTGCTACTCTCTTTTGTCGCACCCAGTGCCACAGCAACCTGCTCTCCCCTGGCAGAGAACACCCACGCTACATCTCAAGAGATGAAGGTGCTACTCCTCCCCCACGTGCCTTCTCCATTTCTTTGATCCCACAAAACAAACCCAGCCCTAGAGAGAGGTCTATCCTTGCCCCAGAAGGGAGCAGGGGTACAGCCCTCATCATCTCAGCTGCCAGCGAGCAGTCACTGGGACAGAGATGGTTTCACCTTCAGGTCACCTTGAGAGTCCTTGGGGCCCCACAAAGTCCTTTGGGGGTACACAGAGCCTTTAAAGCCCTTGAGTCTCCCAAAATCTGCCTGAAGTCCTGTCCTCCAAGAGCCCCATAACTCTGCTCACCCCAGGATATTCCCCATCCCTTTAATATCCAGCACACATAATGGGCAAGGGGGAGGATATGGGTCAGGAGGAGATGGTCTGGGGAGGGAAGCAGGGAGATGCAGGATTGGTCAGGGTGGATGTGCCCCCGCTCCCCAGCCCTCTCCCCGCGAGAACGAGCCCTCGATACCGCGCTTCTCCTCGCTGCCGTCCTCCCTCGCTCCCGGCCCCAGCAGCTTTCAGCAACTTCCAGCTGGCCCCGGTCCCCCTTTTATCTCCTGACCACTCTCCCCGCCCAGGAGGGAGGAGAAGAGCCTGGCTGGAGCGGGGACTGCGCCCCGGCCACCACCGCCTGCCTCGAGGGGACAGCGACAAGGCAGGCACTGTCCCTGTCGGTGCCATGTGGCCTCGGGGCGCTGCTGCCACAGCCCAGCCCGAGCCGTGCCGGAGCAAAGCGGTGCCTGGTGCCGGGCTGACGCAGAGGTGACAGGCGGTGCTGCAGGGAAGAGAGGGACACAGCGCTCCAAACCTCGCACACAGGAGGGCTGGGGGCCTTGCCAAGGACACTGCTCACACCGAAGGGTTGCACCACTGTGGGGTGACCTCCAACAGCGCCATCCCTGCACGAGGTGCCACAGGAGCAACCAGTGCCGTCTCTGCTTCCTGCAGCCAAAATGATGGTGCCTCCCATACACCGGGGTGCTGGAGCTCCCTGCCCCGTGCGGTGTCACCTCAAAAGCCGAGCTGTTCTTTTGTGCCCATGGCTGTTCTCAGGCCAAGCTCGGCCCCACAGCAACTCCCCAGTGTCCAGTTCCATGCCTCCTGTCCAGCCCCACACTGATGGGGCTGTGCTAGTGTCGGTGTTTCCTTGGGAAATCACAGCGACACTGGATTCCACCCCCCAACCAAACAAGAGGAGCTCACCACTTTGGCAGCACAAGGACATCTCTGCAAATATTTGAGCAGTTTATTGTACCTGGGATCTGTACAAAAACATGATAAGGGAGGGAAGGGCAAGCAGCCACAGTCACAGCGGGGGCAGAACATGATCCCAGACACACACAGAGTGGGGATTCGTCTGAAAACAGGAGAGGGGATCGCTGCTGAGGGGCTTGAGAGGCCCAGAGGTGTCTGCAAGGATGAGGGGCCGTGGGCTGGGCTGGTGAGCAGTCCCTGTGACTGACACCCGGTGACTTTCTGCAGAGCTGTCACCCCCCACCCGCACGCTGCTCCCCCCAAATCCCCACCGGGTACCCCGGACACCGTGAAGCGCCCAGCACTGCGCAGGGACACATTTCCCCCGTTCATGTCCCGGGACTCGGGCTGGCAGGGAATGACCCGGCACACACACGAGCTGTGCTCCAGGGAGCCCAGGCCACCGCCTGTCAGGTGCTTCCCTCTTCTCCTCGGCTCATCCCGCGCCGCGGTGCTTGCGGTTTTCAGCCTGGGCGGCTTTAGGCCCGCAAACCGCTTTAGGCCCCGCGGCGGGCAGCGCGGTCTCCGCGTGCCGGCCCGTCCCTGCCCGGGCCGATCGCGCCGCTCCCGCCGGGAGCGCTCCCGCGGCCGCTCCGCAGGGCCCGGGCAGGGCCGGGCCTGGTGCATGCCGGGGCGGAGCGAACTGAACCGCCCCCGCCGGCGCTGCCCGCCGTCCCCTTCGCCCGCAGCCTTGACCCCGGTGAGCCGCAGCCCGAGGGCGAGCGGGGCCCGCGGGCACGGGGGTGGCGGGGCGGGCGCGGGGAGCGGGGCCGGCGGGAGCGGAGCGGGGACCGAGCCGGTGCCGCGGGGCGCAGCGGGGAGCGGGGCCGGGGGGAAGGAGCGCCGGCCCCTGCCCATGTGCTCGCCGGGTCCACGCGGTCCCTCAGCTCCGGGCTGGTGGGAAGGAGCAGGGAGAGCTCGGAGCACACAGCCCCTTCAGGCGGGCAGGGGAAAGGGAATATTTGAGCAGGTGTGTGCCCCCAGCCCAATGCACACCTGTGAGGACTGGCCAGAGCGGCTGGTGCATGCCATGGGATCAGGATGTCTCAGTGGGTGCTCTGGAGAGGTGATTCCGATTGGGGTTTTGGGCAGATCTGTTTTCCCCCTTGACCATCACAGATATTTGGGAGGAAGGTCACTCTCCCGAAGTATCCCTTCTCTGTGCCCCTAGGGCAATGTCGTGGTTCCCGGGCTGTAGCAGAGAGCACGGTGGCTCCACGCTGTCCTTGTTGGGGAGGGGAAGGGCACATCAGCCTGTCATGACCCCACTGCTCCCCTCCACTGGTGAGACACACCTGACAGGCGCTGGGGCAGCACAGGAGCGTTTTAGCTGTAACCAGCGTGTTGCTCCGTGTTTACCAGTCCATGTTCCTGGTACAGGACATTCCCACCATAACCCTTGTCCCCATAATCTTGCTTATACATGCATCGCACCTCCTCCACTGGGAATCCCCACTGACCTCCCTGTGGCACTCCCAAAGGACACATGGCTCCAGAGGGGACCTGCAGGGCTGCATCCAGGGCTTGGGGCTTTCCTGCTCTGTAATCTCGAGCATGGGGCAGGGCAGCAGAGTGGAAGGCTGGCAGGAGGGCTTGGCAACCTTGGGCAGCTCTTTGTAGCTGGTCCCAAAGGTGGATGCCCTTTCACAGTGCAAACTGGCTCCTGAGACCCACTTATTTAAAATCACACATTTAAAAGGTGTGAGTTTACACCTATATGCATATGTTTGTTTGATTGCAAACACAGGTGGGCTCTGTGCAAGGTGGGGGAAAGGCTTTTCCCCAGGGCCAGCAGCCCCCCTGACCCCCTGCATCCTCCCCACAGCCTGCCCAGCCATGGCAGCCTCGCTGAGCCGCCCCTGCTTCATCTCCCTCCACCTGCCCTACAGGCAGGGCTGGGGCCAGCACCTGGCCAACACCTTTCGCTTCCAGCCGGTGGCCGTGCGGGAGACGCCGCGTGTCCGGCAGCTGGCCCTGCGACGGGAATCTGCCATCTTCCTCGTCAACGAGCGCCTGGCACCTGCACGGGAATTCACCTCATCCCACGACTTCCTCTATGACGTAGATCCCCAGCCCACCCTGGGCACGGCCTCCAACGTCTGCTTCGAGGTGGATGACGTGCCGGGGCTCTGCAAGCGGCTGCAGAGCCAGGGATGCTCCTTGCTGGTGCCCCCCACTGAGCTGAGCGATGAGGGTGGTTCTGTCACCTACGGCGTGGTGAGCTCTGTGGTGGGCAACATCAGCCACACCCTTTTGGACCGATCCTCTTACCGGGGACTCTTCCTGCCGGGCTTCCAGCCCATCCAAGGAGCCCCCTCAGCCACAGGGGATGGGATCAGGATCACTCACTTTGACCACATCACGTATGTGTGCCCCCGGGGCGGGGCCCGGGCGGCTCTGGACTGGTACCAGCGCTGCTTCGGCTTCCACCGCTTCCTGCTGAACCCCCAGGAAAGGCCGGCTGAGGGGTACGTGCTGGGGGGGCAGGGGGTGGGCATGCTGCTCCTCGCACTGCAGAGCGCCCAGGGCACCCCAGCCCACGGCTGCAAGCTGGTCTTTGCCGAGTCCCTCTCCCAGAACGGCACCAACCAGGTCGACACGTTCCTGGAGCAGCACGGTGGGGCTGGGATCCAGCACGTCGGCCTCTGCACCACTGACATTGTCAGCACGACCAGGGCTCTGCAGCAGCGGGGGGCACGGTTCTTCACACCCCCCGCTACGTATTACAGCCAGGGGGGAAAAGCAGAGGAGATCCGAGGAGCTGGGCAGGACCCCCACATGCTGGCAGAGCTTGGCATCCTCCTGGACACCACAGTGCTGGGGGACAAGGGCCAGCCGGGCACTGATGCCACAGAGAGCCCCTCTCGGGAATATTTGATGCAGATCTTCACCCATCCCATCTTCTCGGAGGAGACTTTCTTCCTGGAGCTCATTGACCGTCGGGGAGCGCCCGGCTTTGGGGAGGGCAATATCCGGGCGCTGTGGAAAGCTGTGCAGCTCTACATGGACCAGCAGCAGTAGTGCAACACTGCAGTCCTCCTCCCCCAGCTCCCCAGCTTCTCCACTCCAACTCTGGGGCAAGGACCATAGAGATCCCATCCCTGGCATGGCCCAGGTGAGCAGGGACCAAGGGGTGGCTCCAGATCAATCCAGAGCCAACCCAGCTCCAGTGGGAGCAAGATGCTCAGGGCTGAGTCCAGCAGGCGTGTGAGCATGCCCCAGGATGGCTGGGATTTCTCCCCTGACCATGGTTCCCCAGTGATTTATCGACCACATGTAAAGAACTTCCTGCCTTAGTTTCAGCTTAATTTATTGAGACTTGAGCCTATAGCATGGCCAAGAGCGTGCTGGCACAGAAACACTCCAGACACAGAGAGATGAGGGGAGTGGATAATCCAGAGGCCCTGGATTACAACCACATAGTGGCAGTTACCACCCACAGCATGACCAGCCCTGCAGGGTGAGTGGTGGCCTCTTCCTCCTCTCAATTAAAGAATTAACTTATAGGCACTGTTTTGGGTTTTTAATCCTCCTATTTAAGATGTGCTGAGTGCCAGGTGAGGATGAAATGGCCATTTCTTGGGTGCATTAATGAAGAAATCCCTGCTCTTTCCAGCTCAGATCTAATGTTGGCTATCTTCACATTCCATCACAGCTGCCCAACACCCCCAGCTTAGCACAGTGCAACAGACAGTCACTTAAAAAACCCACACACTTGAGATTTTATTTTCAGGTCCAGTAAAAACAAGGGAGGGCACAGCAGCATCCCCAGTCACTGACAGGGGAACGAGATGCAGGCAGGGGACAGGGCTGCAGGGGCCATGTGGCCACAGCCTTCCCACTGCTGGAGAGAAAGCCCTGCTGCCCTGAGTCCACAGTGCCAAAGTGGTGGCAGTAACAGGGCTGAGTAGCCCCAGGAGGGCTCCAGCCAAGGAGGGAGGGCAGGTCTGGCTCCAGGATTAATCCAGGCACAATGCCCCCGGGGGAGGCAGGAGAAAGGAAGAGTGAGAGACCATTGTAGTGCCATGTCCTGGGCTTGCTACAGCACAGGGACAGCGCTGACCCCAGCAAGGGCTTCCTCTGGGCTCTCACACGAGGAAGGTCGGTGCCCTCACGGGGCCGTCGGTGCCCGGAGAAAGGCGCGGAGAGAGAGCTGTGTCCCAGGGCAGGGGCTGCCTGCTCCCGGGGCCTTGGTCGCCCGCTTCCGCTTGGAGCCCTGCAGGAGACACAGCAGGGCTCAGCCAGACCCCAAGGGCCCCCACGGGCTCCAGGGATCCCTCTGGGGA